GGGGGGGGGGAAGGAGTGCTCTTCAGAGGCTCAGGGCAGAATAAAAGACATGGGGAAGAAAAGCAAACCATCTGGGATGTAACATGCTAATGTTTCAGTGTTTTTAAAAAGGTACCAGCTTCTTAGAGCAAACCACGTAACAGTTTTAATGTGAGTGTGAGGATTTTAATGTATCTGTTCTCTAGAGTCATAGCTTTTTCAATAGTTAAAAACAGCTTGTTTCATTTCACTGGGTCACATTTATTTCACCACTGTACTTCAAGGAAAGGAACTATTGTGTCCTACTGCCGTGAACCAGTTAATGAGTGTTGGAGCTCACGATGGTCTCCATGGTCATTTCTCCAGAGGATCCGTCAAACTGTGGCCCCTTCCAGTGAGCCGTTGGGTGCTGCCCTGAGGTGAGCAATTGTGTTGTGCCACCTGGAGCACAGCGCTCTGTAAGGGCAGCTCATTGCTCCTCTGGCCACTATTGCTTCACTGGCCTGGTTGACGATAAGATCCCTGATCTCAGGGTGCTTTGAAAAGGACTTTTTTGCCATCCGTTCGTTCACAGTCATTTGTTCAGGTTGCCTCTTTGGGCCAACCTCTCGTACAGCCAACAACATGCTGCTTCAAGGGAGAAAAATTATTCCTGTGAGAAGGAAATTTGCTTTTTGCAGCTTTCCAGCACCTGGGAGCTGAAAACAATGATGCAAGTAATTCTCTGTTTTGATTTTGCATACAGTGAACTGGAAAGGATTTGGCAATTTTTTTGCATACAATGCACCCTGACAGAAAAACCTTCTTTAAATTACCGTAAAACTGATATGCTGTGCCTGTGCAAAGAGTGGCCTGGGGAATTAATGCTCCTTGCTAAAGATAGGGCAGAATGAAGCCAGAAATCCCACGTGTGCAGGCACCATCCATGGTTTTCTTGTATTTAGCGTGTCTGTTAACCCTGTATTGCCTCCTACAGTCCTCCTGATGGACAGATAACAGTTTAAAAAAAACAAGAACACAACCAAAAAACTCTCAGCTCTGAAAACTTGGGAACTGCTTGTTACTCTTTTTTCTTATTTAAAAAACATGTGGGCAACAACACTGTGATTCTAAAGTTTCACCTTTTCATGACTGTTAGTCTGGAAATATGTTTCCCATGGAGTCACTGGTATTCAAGCATCTTTGTTTTGGTTTTAGCCAGGTCTTCCCTATTAAGGAAATGACACTAGCATCTGTTCATCAATTAGCTGCCAGCCTTACAGCTGGCAAATCTCACCAGCAGCATGGGCATTTCTCCTGAAATGGCAGGTTGTCCGGAGGTACAATCTGAGCCAGCACAGCCCTCGCCTCTCCTCCCTCTGGTACTGTGTATCCTCCCCATCCTCCTCCTCCTCCTTCCAGACTCTACCCACCACAGAGCCAGGGAGAGGGAGGAACCTTCCTTCTGCTTTGCCAGACCCCCTGCTCCTTCCCAGGGAGCAGAGTGAGGTCAGGAGGCACTTCCAGCCCCAACAATGCTTGGGTGCTCCGCGCTGGCTCATGGCTTGGTGCTGGTATGAGTGCTGGGAGGGCGAGTCTGTGCCGTCCCCACGCGTGCTGAGCAGCAGGAGCTCCGGAGACGGGTAATATTTCCAGTTTGGAGCGGGTGGTAACTGTTAATATCCTCATGACAACCAGGAGGAGTGAGATTGTCATCGGTTATATTAGTTGTTAATTTTGTAAATATTAACAATTTCTAGGATTATGGCACAGGATGTGAGCTGTCAACTTGCTTTATTTTCCTCCTACTTCTTCTTGCAATGACACATCTTTTATACTCCCGGATTCATGCCATGTGTTTGTTGCCTCGCGCTGACACTGGGACTGGCAGATGTTCAGGGATGAAACCATGATAACCTCCCAAAAGTTAGCTTTTATTCCCCTCCTGGGTACTTTGTTTCCTCTGATCTAAGGAGAAGTAATTAGCCTGTAAAGCACAGTGATTTATAAATATGTGTGGTTGGTTTCCATCCAGCGCTGCTGCCGAAGCCACTGCCTTTGGCACAGCTGAGCTCCCACCTCCCCTTCCAGCTCACCTGTGAGTGCCACACACATGAAGGCGCCATCGCTCCCTGTCCCCCTTGGAGCAGGAACTGAATTATGACTCACCAGGAACTGTTTCCCTATTGTGAAAAAGACCTTAAAATTGATATTTTTACAATATATCTCAAGAGCAAAATTCTAACCGTATTTTTAGATCAAGGAGCATGGTAATTGCAGGAGTGCCAGCCGCAGTAGTCACCCCTGCGGTTTGATAGACATGTTCAGAGGCAGCTTTAGATGTAGTTTGAGATGAGGTGCAATCGGGTGCAAAGCACCAGGGAGGGCAGCTTTGCCAGAGCACTTGCTCCTCACCTTGGCTCCCTTGCTGCTGGCGAGAGCGTCTCTGCCCACTCTGCCCTGCTCCTGTGCCACCAGCAGCCCTGAGCACACAGCTGGGGCCCAGCCAAGCAGAGATGAGCCCCAGGCCAAGCATAGCTTTGCAGTTTTCCTGACATCCCAGTTACTCAGCGTAATGTTTCATATGGCCTGACACTGGGGCAGCCACCAGCATGATGTGTGGGGAGCATCGCCATGGTTGGCTGGGTGTTAGCAGGGGGACAAGTCTGGCGCTGAGCTGCACCCTCCA